ATTTTTATTTGAGCTCCTGCCAGATGTTCAGCAGCAGACATGTGCTGTCTGCCTTCTATGTCCAAATTCCTCATGAGGTGTAGATTTCTGTCTTCGTACTTTTTATTTTAGTTATAATGTTGAGAGCTTTAGGATAATATGACCAATAAGATAAGTGAAAAGATAACCATAGACTGATAGAGTTTTTCTGTGGTCTTTAGATCAGTCCTTATGAAATGTCTTCAAGTACTTGTAGTTTAATTGAAGTAGTAAAGCTTTTTCAGGCTTGGCATCTGTCCAGAGGAGCTTCCCAAACTGTATGAGCTGTGTTCAGATATTTTCTTTGTGACAAAAGGCTGATAGTCTTCTATTTGAGGGAGGGACGTGATTCAAATGTACAGAATCATGAAGCTTGTGGACGAGATGAATACAAACAGTTCTTCAGCAAAGCTTGCAGTGGTAGAACAAGGGGCACTTTCTGACACTAGAAAGAGATCAAATTAAAACAGCTAAAAGTACTTCTTCAGGCAGTGGGCAGTTAAACTCTGGTGCTGTCTGCCACAAGAGGTTGTGGAGGCAGGTTCAAAAAGCGGTTAGATGAATTTGTGGACAGCAGGTTCATAAATGGGTGCTAAAGGGAATAGGCAGGAATGTAGCCTTTAATTTCCTGCTGTAGCAGTTTAAGATGCTGAACTATGGGGAGAATGGGCTACATAAAACGGCCAGGCTCATCTGCTTTCCTTGAGTAGGGTGTCCTTTTGCCACCTTTGGAGACAGAGCACAAGACTAGATGCACTGCTCTTCTGACCCAGTAGGGTATTTCTTATTAATGCCTTTATTGCTGCTTTTTCCTTGCATAATTTGCATTTATCAAAATTGCTCCCAGTTCAGCCTAACCATGCCTTGCACTTTGCAGCACCTCCTCTAGGCTTGGAGCAGAGTACCACTTTTACATAAATTAAGCTGGCTGAAGTATTCTCTTATGAGTACTCATCGCAGTCGGCCGAAGTATTAAGCTGAATGAAGTCCTGTCCTACTTGTGTCAGATTCTCTCTGCTCAGCCTTTGAAAGACACGGGGTCACTACTGGAATAACTAAGTGAAATTCTTATTGATACTGCTGGCAAATCCCTGACATGGCAAAACAATACCTAGAAGGAAGAAGTTAGTTTAAGCCTCCCAAACTCTTAGTCTGCAGCTGTGGTGTATGTTGTGTTTTGTTTTTTTTTTTTAAGTAGCTGCTAAGCTGCAATAATCATTGTAATAAAGGGCTCTTTAAGTGTGTCCCTTTGTGGTTTTGCTTTTTTTAAAAAAAAAAGCTTAATTTTCACAGGGGTAGCAGATCAACCTGTGCTTTCTGACATCTACAGAAACTGCATGAGCAAAGGTCTGCAAGGGAACTGGTTAAAACTAAGTATAACATCTGGAAATTTCTGATTAGTTAGGTCTGAGCTGACGGTCCTTTGGAAATGGGAAAAGAAAGATTTTTTCTTTTTTGCCTCTGAGTATGTCAAAAATAGTATGAGAGTTCAAATATCAAGAAAAACTGAAATGTATGGGGTTTCTAAATTCTTTCCCCCTGCAAGACTTAAATCACTCAATGTGCTTTTGAAGCAGAAAAGCAAATCTTAGTTTAAAAAAAAAAGTAAAGCACCAGAGAATACAGAAAGTGATATATAGATCAGTGTTATGTCTTAAGGGAGAGAATACTGCAAAATTGGACACCTCATCACAAGGAATATTGTAAAGCTGAGAAATTAGATAAAAGCATTGAGAATGTTTAGAGGGCCTGGAAGAATAGGCAATTTACCTTGGTGGTAAATGAGACCCTGCTGAAGCGTGTGTTTTATAAGGCTGATAGTCAAAGGAGTATTGTGGGGCATTGAAAGGTGTCAAATCTGAAGGTAAAGAACAGGAAATACGTATATTATGTGTCAATAAACAGCAGAAGAATTGGGGTGTGGATAAGCAATGATACTGGTACTTGGTTGCCTACATCTGTCGGCATTGAATTCGATGTTCAGATATTAAACCATCAGTTGCTAGTGTTTAAAACGGGATCTTTGCAGCAAAAGAGGCTATCCTCTTTGGTTTGGTCTTTCTGAATTTCTTGCGTGTGCCTCTGAAGCACCTAATGTTGGCCTTGCTCAAATGTTGAAGTCTTTTTACAAAGCTCCAAGTGACTGTCGTTCCCTGTTTCAGAAACCTAGTGTGAGTGTTTCTTAAAACAGCCGAGGCCATGCAAGCCTCCTGTTTCATCTCTGGAGCTACCCAGTGTACTGGATTAGGGTTCTAATGAGGTTCACTCCCAGGCCCGTGAACAGTTCAGATCATGTGGAAAAGGGTCTAAGACTTCTTAATTTGGCTTTGCCACCAAAATAAATGATCTAAATTAAAGTGCATGCCCAGGTTGCATTTCCAGTGATGCAGTCAACCCTAACACCGCTGCTGAAGGCTGGGGCTGGAGCCTTCCATCCGTGCTCCTGTAACTCACCTCAACTTAGAGTACCATGTGTGAGCTGGTGCAACGTGTTAACCTGAAAGAGAACTAACTTGGCAAAAAAACCCAACTTGATCAGTTTTTACTTGGTTACCTAGCTGAGTCTTTGTGCAAAGGTATTAGTGGTGCTGAGGTGGTGGTGGTGCCATAGGAAAGAAAGGAAGGAGACCTGGGCTTCCAGTGGCAGGAAGCTGTTGTGTTGGCTTGGCTCCCTATGAAACCGTACCCTGAGTGTCTTAGTGTTTAATTTGAAAATGTTGGATATTGAGTTTATTTTTCTTGTTTGCTGCAGCCGGGGCTCCAGTGCAATGCTTTTGCAGGCTGCAAAACCTGCAGTCTGAAATATCGGGGACAATTCTGTAATAATTTAACGTTTCTGAAAGAATAAAAGTTCTTTTCATGTTATAGTCTTGTGTGAAAATGAATGCTTTGACTTTTCACCAAGGCCTCTACTGACAGGACAAGTCAGTGGTTTGGCTGCAAAACCTGCAGTCTGAAATATCGGGGACAATTCTGTAATAATTTAACGTTTCTGAAAGAATAAAAGTTCTTTTCATGTTATAGTCTTGTGTGAAAATGAATGCTTTGACTTTTCACCAAGGCCTCTACTGACAGGACAAGGGTCAGTGGTTTTAAACTAAAAGAGAGTAGGTTTAGATTGGATATGAGGAAGAAATTTTTTACACTGAGGGTGGTGAGGCACTGGGACAGGTTGCCCAGAGAGGGGGTGGGTGCCCCATCCCTGGAAACATTCCAGGTCAGGTTGGACGGGGCTCTGAGCGACCTGATCTAGTTGAAGATGTCCCTGCTCGTTGCAGAGGGGTTGGACTAGATGGCCTTTAGAGGTCCCTTCCAACCCAAACCATTCTGTGATTCAGGATCGATTATTTTGAAGGGGGGTTTTTTGCATAAATTACCAGTGTTACTCTTGAGTCTCTGTTAATTGGAACCTCTGTCTCCTTGACCCCAGAAAACTACAATTCTTGCTTCAGTCGTATTTTAGGTGCTCTCAGAAGCTGGTGTATGGAGGTATGATTTAGTTGAAACTGAAATGTCATTCCTACTGAATGTTCTGTTTTGTGGAAGTTGAAAAGTTATGATTTAAAGTTACCTGTAGAATATGATCTAGTGTTTGACTTGTTGGTCCTCTCTGAAACAGCAGAGATGTGACAAGGCATAAATTAGCCATGAATGCTATATCCTGAAGTATCCCAAGTCAACCATGCTGTTTTGCAGATGGGAAATTTCAATAAGATGAAGTTGGTGTATTTTGGATAGAAGTGAGGCATGCGCCTGTAAAGGATGGAGAGACATGTAAGCTGCCTTGAAAGCTCAAATCGAGTAGCCTGAAGGTGGTGTTAGCTCTTAGCTAAGACAAGGTATTTTCAGCTGACTGAACTAACTTGCACAGCTTGGAAATAAGGTACCTTTCTGGAGTTCGAATACCCGTTTGCTGCCTGGAAATAAGGTTGGGTTTGACTTCAGTGCCATACTTCTATCCATGGGACCCTTACGTCTTCAAGCAATTTCTAACAGCTTTCTGCCTGAAATAATATGGTTGATTTGGGACTTACGTTTTAATACCGAAAACTAGCTTAATAGAAGCTGCAAAACCAAGATGTTTTTTCTAAATTTCTCTTCTAAATTATTTGAAGTGCAAATCGCAGTGAATGCTAAACATAGCCCAAGTTTCAGCATCCTTTCTAATCTTTCATTTTATATAAACATCCTGATTGGGTAGTTGATACTGAATAAAAGGCTATCAAAATCAAAAACAGACAGTTCTTCTACTCGGGTGCCTGCAAACTAAGATTTTTAAATATCCTTAATGAATCTTGAAAGACTTGATGATTTTAGGTACTGCCAGTTGAGAAGATTCCTTATCTGTAGGCCGTTGAACTCTAGATTGAAAGAAAGATGGGAATAAGCTTATTACCAAACTTATGAGTGAATTTCAAATTGGATGTCCCTAGTGGAACAAAAATTGGTAGTTATTTAAAATATGACAAACAACATGAGAAAAGGCTCGTGAAATGGCTGGCTGTTGGAAGACTTCTGTCAAGCCGTAATGACTAAATGACATTCCAAACACAATTTTGCTTGCTAAATTGATTTGGAGACGGGCAGAACATGCATATATGTGTATGCAATTTGTCAATCACTTGTGGAAAATTTTAATAAATGACTAAAACCAGGCAGCCTAGGTGCAAAGCTAGACTCAAGTTAACTTCTGTATTTTTGCTGGAGTTGACTTTAGCCAGGAAAGACTTGAGGAAAAATGAAATGTCTAATCCAACAGTAACCTTAGTCTGCACTAACTGTTGAAGAGTCTGCAGCAGACTTGCATTTTAACTATTGATGAAGTACCTAACCATGATGCAGACTACTTCTGAAGTATTATCTGACTTGTTTGGGGATGCAGTGTCCTATAGCATTTGGTAATGAGAGGTCCTAAGCAAGGTATTTGTTTCATGTGAAACCTCAGTGCTAACGTGTCTGTTTTGGTTTGTGTTTTTAGGGCTCAGACGGGAATCTCTAATTTATTGCTTGCTGAGTGTTCTGTCTGGTGAAAGTCATGTCATCCATATTGCCATTCACTCCACCAGTTGTGAAGAGACTTCTGGGGTGGAAAAAATCTGCTGGTGGCTCTGGAGGGGCTGGTGGTGGTGAGCAGAATGGTCAGGAGGAAAAGTGGTGTGAAAAAGCAGTGAAAAGCTTGGTCAAGAAGCTAAAGAAAACAGGACAGCTGGATGAGCTTGAGAAGGCAATTACCACTCAGAATTGCAATACAAAATGTGTGACGATACCGAGGTAAGTGCTGTTGTGTTTGAAATTGTTACAACCACTTAAGAAATGATGAAATGGATGTTTCGGCTATCCTGTGAACAAATGACTAAAAAATCAGTTGCATGCTTTTGGTTCTTTAAAAATTCTTTAAAACCTATTTTGGTTTTACGTAGTGCTTGCTTACAACTGAATCACATGCTTTGTAAAGTCACAGTTTCTAATAATAACTTTACATTTCAATTTTCATTACTACGTAGATTCCAATTTATATGTATTCTGGTGGTGCCTAGCACAGCTCTTAGTTTGTAGCACTGCCTTATGCTTTTATTTAATAACCCTGTCTATAATCGGAGGGGCATACTTGAACCTACACTTCCAGTTAAAAAAAAAAAAGACTAGTTTTTCCTTGGTCAACACTTCAGTCATCTAATTATTTTCAGTTGTAGTTTCATGTAAGTTGTACAAGCTGCATCCATTCTCCCTTTTGAAAGGGACATTTTATCTTTGGAGGCAGGTTGTCTGAAGACCAGTTTATTTACTGTAATTATTATTTGTTATTGGTTAATGAAAGTGCTTTTTATTTAATAACTTGGAGTATTTCTAGAACTGCTCTTCTGATATGTATATACATTTAGGTGAGCGACTTGCATTCTACCCCTTTGACTTTCTCAACTTAATTCATAGCAACTGCTGTGCGAGAGGCAAGGGTTACGTCTGTAAGTATAATGCAGTCTGCTCTCGATTCGCGTTGTACAGAAATCCCCCTAAGGTGCATGTGTAAGCTCAGTACGTGCGACATAAGTATCAAATCACTTCACAGGTGTGTTTTTCTATGAAAAAGTTAGAGGATCTGGTGGCACAGAAATATTCTGGGCACTTGGCCCCTCGACTCTTAAAATAATTTCTAGGGGAGAGAAACTGCGTCTGGTTTATGACCTTACTTTCTGTATTAGCACATTCATCCCAGCTACTTTTAAGCTTTGCATTAATCATAGCGCAAGCTAGATTTGACTGGTGTCAGTAATGATTTCCATGTATCAAATGGGTTATAGGTGTTATCTGATAATGGTTTTAGCATTCTCTTTTAGAATTGACACAGCTTTCTGGGAAAATCATGAGTATGCTCTGAATGAATTACTACTATAATTCTGTTCTCTCTTTTCTGTTCACAAATTTGTTTCTAATGCTGCCCCCCATGTATTTTCTTCCCTAGAGCAGTCCCAAAATTCTGCGGGTTTCCCTTCTTCTTGCTTCCTTTTGCCAGCTGGAAAACAATCAGAAATAAAATATTGGAGCTTTCTTGTCTTAGTGTATATCAGTAGACTAAGATTGAAACCTGTAGGGATATATATTTCCTGACTTGACATGAGATGACTATGTATTTAGCAAGTCTTTACCACGACAAAGACAGAATGCTTAATTGGAAGGCATTTCGTACGACAGAAGCCAAATATGCCATGCACTTGATAATATGTGTATCTAACTTTTAGAGCTCTTAGACTTCCTAGAGCTCTCCTGCAGGGGTACTGGGGATAGTAGTAGTAATAGTAAATATTGCTACTTCAGAAGAATAATTGTCGAAATTTCATTTTGCAGATGATGTTGGAAGATACAAACAGTATGCTAATATATCATTGTTTTCCTAGTCTACTTGTCTGTATTTGAATCTCTCCTCCTGCTTGCGTGACCTTTTGTGTTAAAGTAGTCATAGTAAATAATTCTTTAAAACAGAATATGAAGCTCTATTGTACTCTGTATAGCCTCCATGTTGTGACCAGCAGTTCTTGCTGGGCTGTGATGTACTGTTCTCATTCTCATTCTCTTGTCCAGTCAGCTGTAAAAAGGACTGGACCTAGGTTTTACTTTTCTTGATTACCTTAGGGGTAAGCTGGTAGCTAGAGAGCTCTTCAAGTGGTGTTGGCTATTATACAGGGTTTAATTTTAAACTAAGAAATGGCTTTGGTATTAAGGGGTGAGATATCAGGGTTGCCAGCAGTGCTATACAGAATTCTTGAGTTTCATAGTTGGCTTTTGGACTGTTGATACTATTTCACTTTGACAACAGTAGTCTGGTTTCCCAAGAAAGAACAAATGTCAACTCACTACTGTAATGACTTCTGGAGATTCTTGTTCTTGGATTTAGTACGTTAATGAAACTGCTGCTTGAGGACCCACTTTAATGAACGTCTTAAAGATCTGCAGATCAGCAGGGATAAATAATAAAATGCTGAATTTGAAACTTTTTTTTTCTTCTTAGTCAGTAGGAAGTTTGAGGTGGTAAGCTGTTGAGGTGCAGTTCTGATGTGACAGCTGGGCTAACTTTCAAAACATTCTTCTGCTTGGGGAGGGTTTTTGTGTTTGGTTTTGTGTGGGGTTTTTTTTTTTAACTAGCTTTAGATTTAATTACTAATACTGTTTAACTTAGTGTAAATATTGACAAGTGTTGTGGGATGCTTCTGTTTGCAACTGTTCCATTATTCCCTCAACAGAAGTTTCACTTGCGGTTTCAGAAATTTCTGGTCCCCTTGGAGATTTCCAGAGAGTTGATGCAGTACTTAACTCTACCATACTTTTTCATCATTGACACCTAAAACAAATAAACACCTACAAGGTTTTCTCAAAACTGAGAGCAGCTTGGACAAAAGCTGAACTAAATTGCCTCTTCAGAAATCTGCATATGCTTCTTGTATGTCATTGGTAATCCTGCTGCGATTAGGATTGTTCTGTTTCTGTGCTGTTTGTCAAGGTGACTACATACTAAGTGAGGCTGATACTGTGTGTACTATGGAAAAGCTGCTCATGTGGTAATTAACACAACTTCTTACGCAGACTAATAGAGGTTGTGAGAAAGCAGAAGCAAACAGATGGAGTGGGTGTTGGCATCGCACAGCAGGGGTGCTTAGCTCTTCATAAGTGGGTCAGTAATCTAGAGCAGAGGCTAAATAAGTACAGAGGTCCTTTTGACACTAGCCCTCTAAGTAATTTGTAGTTATCTTGCTGACTCCTCCCAGCAAGCCAGCGGGATTCTAATCACATAATCCCTGTGTATCCTAAAACTAAATGTTGGCACGTGAGTTCACTTTTCTAAAATACGTAATTCGGTAGAATTTAAGATCCCGTCTTTGTGCTCTCCCTTGCAGTTTTGACACAAGTGGAGCACAAGAAGCAGTCAGTGACGAAACAGAGCATGAGCATCCATTTGTATAAGTTGTCTCCTAATGGAGCAGTTTCTTCCTTATTAGCACGGATTGTTCTGTTGAAATAAATACTTTGTAACTAGTGATAGCTAAAATCCAAGCCTTTAACAAACCAAACCATGCCACGTAGCAAACAGTCAGCTGGCATATTCATAGTCTGTCTTCATTATTTAAAAAGTAATTTCAGAGGTGACCGAACGGAGTATTAGACTCCAAAGTAGGGAAACACAAATGACTAGTTTCAGTGTCCCAGTATTTTGGTGTGATCAGCTGTGTGGTTTTTCTGTCTTAAAAAGAGAATAGATCTGCTTCATGCTTTCTTCTTGCTTCTTTTAAATAAAACTTACCAAAATGTAGTTGCTCTTGTAAAATGCCTGATAATGTACAACTAATAATAGAGTTTGGTTGGAGTAGGTTTGGGATAATGTTGACCTGGGCTGTTGTACCTCCTATATTTTTAAAATTTAAAAAAACCCAAACAAACCTAGAGGAAGGGAAGCATTGAGTTTAGACTCCTTTGTGATGTCTTATGTTCCTCTAGAGCACACATATCTGAAAATTAATGCAGAACTGACTGTGTCCTTCCTGAGCTGTAACTGCGTACATCCGTATCACATGCTGAGTTCTGCTTCCATGCCAACATTTGGGTAATGTGACAACTGTATTTAGGGCCTTATCTTATATGAAGGATGAGTAGTAATGGAGATGACCTGCCTATATGGAGTACTCCCCAGGTACAACTGTAGTCCTCATTTACTGCATGTTGTAACCCATCCAGTCTTCCCCAGAAGATTCCGTCTTGCACTCTGCTTTCGCTTACCCATTGTTGAACCCGCAGAGCACTGCTGTATCTTATCTCCTTGCTGGCAGCTTCCCTGTTCTACTGCTGATGTGGTCTGCATGATGCAATGCTGAACTGAGGCATATGAGATCACTCAATGTATAGGTGCACCTTTTTTCCTTCCAGCATATGCGGGAGGATAAAGAAGAGATAGGTGCCTCCCATCAATCTCAGCATCTCTAGCTTTCATTCGTGTTAGCTCTGCATAGTGAATATAGCTTTCATGCATGCCCTGACAAAGGCTATTTGTAGTTGGGAGGAAGGGGGCAGCTAAAAGATGCATCTGTAACAGTATACCTCCATTTTCTCTTTCCAGATGTTTGCGTACTCATCTCAGTACTGTAGAAGGGTTTGATACAGCATCAAACAACTTCCTGATTGATAACTTAACTTTCTTCTTGAACGGATAGAATTTGTGTTGCTGTTAATAGTAGTAGTTATACTACAGTTACTACGTAAACTTGCTTTTGATACTGTGTGTGGAATGGGACTTAACACTTGAATCTTAGCTTTAATGGGAGGTCCTGTGTGTCTGCAGAGGAGGCAAATTTTATCACTGCTTTGTTAGAGGAAACTACAGCGCAAAAGCAAAGCAATGTTGAATGTTGATGGAAAGTGATCTGGCAGATTACTGGCTGAAGTAAGGTTTTAAGACCAACTTCCTTAAATCCCAATTCAGAGATTCTTTGCTGGGGTGCTAGTACCATGCAAATGCTTTAGAGTCTTAGGCAAAATGCAGCAGTTGCTTCCAGCGCAGAGAGAAGGCTAATACTCCTGTCAAACCCTTGCTTTCCAGCCTGCTGTGGCATTAGAGTTTTAGAAGGTATTATGTGAAAAATGTTTTTTCTTGCTTAACAGTTCAATATGTATGTAGAAAATGCAGTCTTATCTGTGCCCTCTGTCCTTCTTGCTTAACATGAGGATAGCATCCCTTGCTCTGATTCCTGGTTTTCAGAAGCTTATTTTTGCTTTTTCTGCAGCCTCCC